CTAAGTGCTCTGTGTATATTGGCTCATTCATTCCACTCCTACCATCATTGTCCCCATTTTACAGGTACAAAAACCATGGTTCAGATGGGTAACTACTCCAAGGTCACAAAGCCAACTGAAGTGGACTCTATCCAGGCCTGTTGGATCCCAGAAGTCACACAGCAGTTGAGTATAAACAGCTGCTGTGTTCCGTGGGTAGGGGGTTAAACCATTTTAAATCCCGTTCACTCCTTTTGCTTACACATTCATTATTTACAGTTGGCGTGAAGGTAACATTCAGTATAGTTCTACTAAAACTTCAACAACTTTGAATCAGGGGAGCTCAACTAATGAGTTTTCTTCAAGGCATTTAGCAGTGACTTTAGTCCACAAATCTAGAAGATTATGTAACCTAATCTGTACCTTGGCAAACTATTTTTTTTTAAGATTTTAAGATACTACTTTTAAAAAAAGTTTTATTTATTTATTTATTTATTTCAGAGAGAAAGTGTATGTAAGTGAGGGGGAGAAGGGCGGAGGGAGGAGAAAGAGGATCTCAAGCAGACTCCCCACTGAGCATGGAACCTAATGTGGGGCTCGATCTCACAACTCTGAGATCATGAGCTGAGCCAAAACCAAGAGTCAGATGCTTAGCTGACTGAGCCATCCAGGCACCTCACCTTTCTTGCCACTTTAATTCAGTGCTCTCTGTGTTTCACTACTCTGCTTTGGGACTGTGGTAATAGGTGCTCACCACTTGTACTATTATTTGCTTATAATTGAGTCATTGTTTTTTGCCTAATGTTTTAGAGGAAAATATCACCCCTATAAATAAAGAACCACTAATTAACTCAATGAATATTTATGAAGTGCCTAATATGCATGAGGAAGTGGGGATATAGTAATGAAAAATACACCTCAAGAATCCTTGCCCTCATGGAGCTAATGTTCAAGTAGGGGTGACAGACAAGCAACAAGGAAAAGAATAAAATAGCAGGAGGCCTGGGAGGCTCCGTCGGCTAAGCATCTGCCTTCAGCTCAGGTCATGATCCCAGGGTCCTGGAATGGAGTTCCGCATCAGGGTCCCTGCTCAGCGGGGAGTCTACTTCTCCCTCTCCCACTGCATGCTGCTCCCCCTGCTGTGCTCTCTCTCTTTCTCCCTCTCTCAGACAAATAAATAAAAATAATTTAAAAAGGAAAATATATAGTACATAAGAGAGTGATCGTCCTAAAGGAAAAAGAGAGAGAGAGAGAGAGAGAGGAAGAGAGAGTCAGTTGGGGAGGGCTAAAATTTTAGATACAGTGATGAGGGAGGCCTCATTGACAGGATGACTTTGAATACAAAGACCTGAAAGGGACCACCCATATGGAAATTCAAAAGAGAAAAAAAAAAAGGCAATTCAGGGAGTAGGAACAGACAGGGCCAAGCCTGGAGAAATGAGCATGCTTGGAGCTTTCAACCATAAGGAGGTCATGGGCAAAAGCAAGACTAGACAGGAAGCTGTTGCAAAACTCCAAGCAAGAGATTATGTTGGTGTGGACCACAGTGATGAGAAATAACCAGATTCTAGAAATATTTTGAAGACAAAGCCAACATTTGCTGATGGACCAGTTACAGAGTACAAGACAAGATGAATCAAGATAAACCCTAGAACTTTTGGCCTAGGAAGCAACTGGAAGGATGGAGTCCAATATATGTCTTCTTTTTTTTTTTTAATCCCTCCATAGATCCTCCCCAGTCCCCTTGATCTGGATCTCTGTCACTTGCATCATAGCCTCCCCACTCAGTGGAAGAAATTTAGAAAGCACCAGCATTCAAAAGAACAGATTTAAAGCTGCTTGTAGTTTTGCTGATCTAGAGTCTGTGTGTGTCCCACGGTTCTAGGATTCTGCAGTCTTGAAATGACAACACTGGGAAAAATTAGTGAGGTTTTTTTCCAGGGATCCAGCAGACACCTTTGGAATACTGAAATTCTGTATATGGTAAATATATTGAACACACTCTGAATATCATAAATATGTTGAAATTCTGTCTAGTGCAATTCTGGTACATAGATTGATTGGCTGGGTAGTAAGGAACACAAGCTTTCAGAGGGAAAAGGAACATTCCTGGCTCTTAAAATATAGGCTATAAACAGATCTATGCTTGATAAACTATGTACCGCTTGTGTCAAGTGAATTAATGTAACTATTTAGCATCCCAAGCTCAAACTTTAATTTCACTCTTTCTGGCTTACTCAGTAGTTCAAAAAGAGGACAGATTAAATAGAGCAAAAATACACAAGCAGTGAATGAGTTTCATGGTGAGCCAAGACATCACAGAAGAAAAATAATTCAATTTTATCTTAAACACTGGCCTGTTACTTTAATATTAAAATAGCGGTGGTATTTGAGTTTAGAGCCAATGGTCTCTGTACAAAAATAATGCCTTTCTTGGCACTGATAAATCATTAATCTTCCATCTTAAGGGTTTCAACATCAAAAATAGTTTACTGGCCTTATCTGTAAATAACCTGCATTGCCTTCAATTAGACAAATTAACGCACTCACCGTATTGGCCCCTACAGTCACTTCATCAAATTATAAATTCTGACTATGAATTATGTTTACTTTTACATTGGACAGTGTAGCAAACTGAACATTTAAAATATGATCAAGTTCAAGGGTTCAAGGCTGTCCTGTAACTGCCTCTGAACAGAGACCAAACTAAAGGTTCACTGCTGGTTTCTCCATAGAGCTGCAGACCTACCGTCTAGTGGCCCCTGGACTCCACTGTAAGTGCCATCCCAAACTCATCTGTGGCCCCACATTGCCCATATTCCTGTGCTCTGTATCTGTTAGTGACATCTCCATCCACCTGGTCAGCCAGGTTAAAAACTCGAATTACCTTTGACCCCTCTCTGCCCTTCTCTTCCTATATCCAATTAGTTGTAAGGTGTTGCCCCCTGAACTTCCAAACTGACTTCCTGTATCAAATCACTCCCTTCTTCACCCCACTGCCAGATTTATGTTGTCACTTGCTCAAAAATCTTACTGTTTTCTATTTCTTATGGAATAGCCTAAGCTCCTTAGTGCTGAAGTCTTTCCACAGTTTGGCCCCGATTACCCCACCACCTCTTGTTTCAGTTACACCAGGATTTAATTCATAAGGGTGACTGAGTAATGACAGAGTGGTCAGTGCCATTGAAACAAGTTTTATTGCTCACCATTCCCAAGAGAAAGGGGCACATCATGCCATTCAGAGCCACACAGGAAGTACCAGGGTCAGGAAGGAAGCAAAAGGAGTGAGAGGGAGATCATGACCCAGAGCCTCTATTGTGGTTTCTGCAGGAAGAAATGGATGAGACAGAGTAGGCAAATTTGAGCAGGCTTAAGATGGGATACTTTGAATAATGTCTGTGGACTCTGGGCTATAAAAGGTGTCTCTCATTGTCCAGTACTCAGCCCTGGAATGATTTAGGACAGGGGAACTGTTGGCTTGGTGAGAGGTAAAGGAAGTGGTTGGGATATAGGCTCTCAACCGTTTGGTTAATGGAAGGTGTGTTCACAGGCAAATTGTTTGTTACTCTAGGCATTAGCCCATCCAAAGAGGGAAAGCTCCTGGGGTGGAGGGAGTCAAAGGCCCCAAGATGTCACGGCGCCTTAAAATGCAGCAAATAAGAAACATGACTAATACATATCTTCCTTCCCATGAGCCCCTTGCTCATAGCTCTCCTAACCCCAGAAAATGCCTTTCCGTATGAAAGGGGCGACTGTGGCCGAGTCTGGTGACATATAACTGTCAACCTTAAAAATAAAACTGCCAGTTATTTTACCAGCGAAAATAGGTTTATTCAGGAATAGCAGAGAATGCCCATCCAGGGCAAGCAAGCTATGGCAAAACCAAAGACAAGACCAGAGAACACATTAGACCTGGCTCATTTATGGAGGAGAGGGGCACTTGGGGAAGCCGTTATAAACAAGAAATCCATTGGAATAAAATGGGAGTTCAAATACAGTGGCTTCTCATTGGCTGAGTTGGGACTGTTTTTCATTGCCTGGGCCTTTGGAGGAAAGCCTTTCTTCCTCTTGCTAAGGTAGTAAAATTGTATCCATGTGCAAAGTCCTTCTCTCCCTGTTGGATTTGTAATAAGCGAAGAGAGGTAGGGCAGGAGAGCTCCCCCTGCTGAATCTCCTGACTCCATTTTAGTGAGGTTTCTCTATTAATTTTCACATAACCATGATCCCTTCCCTACCCCTTTTCCCCCAACTAGACAAGGGACTGCACCTGACACAGATACTCATCCAGTCTATAGGGTGGCTGGCAACATAAGCCTCTTCCGATCTTTTTCAAAAAGACAAACTGGGCCAATTAGATTTCCTCTTTTAAGGATTCAAATTAAGAGCCGTAAAAGATTTCCAGTGGGTGGTAAGGTGAACTGGGAGGCTCTGAAGTAAACTCAGGACCTTTGTGAGCCAGACGTAGCCCAGTGCTTTCCCCTATCTCCTCCAACTCCATCCCTTACCCAAGCCAAAATATTACAAACAGTCCATGACTATCTGGGGCTAGTGCTGGAGGTTTTGTTTTATTTATTTTCTTGTTTTGTTTTGTTTTAATGTTTCTTTGAAGTACAAAGATTAATAGATTCAGTAACAAAACTGTTGTAAATAGGTCTGACTTGATCAGGCCTGAGACGGAGGCCACAATGATGCCCACTTATAATCCCCCAAACGTGTTGCTAAGTGTTTTTAACTTCATGTAAACATTTAAAGGACCACATAAAATCTAGTACAAATCATCCAGACACCTCAATGGGCATTTCCAACTCCCTTTTAAAGTTCCCACACTGTGGTGGGACTGGAACTGGGTGCCTCCGTGGATTCGGCCTCTGCCTTCTGCTTGATCCCAGGGTTCTGGGATCAAGCCCCATATCAGGCTCCCCACTCAGCGGAAAGTCTGCTTCTCCCTCTGCCCACTGTTCCTCCTGCTGTGCTCTCCCTCTTTCTGTCAAATAAATAAAATCTTTCCAAAAAAATAAATAAGTTCCCACACTGAGCTCACACACTGCAGGGTACAAATCTTCCCCGCGCAGGTAGGGACTGCGCCCCGCCCCTGATCACGTGGGACCAAGTCCGCAGGCTGTCGATTGTTTCTGCCTGGGCAGGCCCGCCGGGATCGATTGCTCCAGTCTGGCCCATCCGCAGAGCGGGAAAATTTTCAGTCAGCCTGGCGGCCACAGCAAACCTCCACACTCTTCACAACCTTGACCAGCATCCGCTTTTTCAGGCTTTTCTATCTCGGACTCCCGGCACCACACGAGTGGAAGCGAAGAAGTTCAAGCCGCCGCCGCCATGTCTGAGGCTTATTTCCGGATAGAGTCGGGGGCGCTGGGGCCTGAGGAGAACTTTCTATCCTTGGACGACATCCTGATGTCCCACGAGAAGCTCCCCGTGCGCACAGAGACCCCCATGCCTCGCCTCGGCGCTTTCTTCCTGGAGCGGAGCGGAGGTCCGGAGACTGACCACGCGATCCCTCAGGTAAGCCTGCCCACGCGCGTTCTCCGGAAAAGACTACAGTTCCGGTTGGGCGTGGCCGCCGCGCCAAAACCGTGATCCCCCTTGGGATTTGTCGTTTTGCGGGGGGGGGGGGGGGGGGGGGGGGGGGGGTGGCGGGCCTTATGCACAAACAAGCTGTAACCGCCGGTCTCGGCGCGCTGAAGCGCTTTCTTAGCGGCGGGCCTCCTGTGTGAAACCGAGTTTATCCTAGGTGGTCTGATACCATTTTTGAAGCTGTCCAAATTGAGCAGAGCCCCCACTCGCCCTGTCTTGTGCCTAAGGCTTAAAGGACCGGCTACTACTGACGACTTCAGGATCGGGGGCTCCTGATCACGTTTGTCTTAAAACGACAGCTTTGGGTTCTGTAAGAGGATGTGATACGTCTGGGAACCGCAAATTGCTAGATTCATTCCTGCGCAGCGACGACGGTATCCGCAACCGTCTACCGAGGGCTTCAGTGCCGGCGTGGATGGTGTGGGGGAGGGAATCTTCCCTTCTGTGACTCCTTTAATCCTTCCATGACCCTATAGTTGGATCTGGTTACACACCAGGAATCTGAAGCCCAGAAAGTTTGTGTAACTTGTTCAGGGTCCCATTGCCCGTGGTGAGCTTGGGATTGGAGCCTGGAGCTGTGGGACTTCACAAGCTAGTTTGCCCCAGGAACGGGCTCAAGATGGTTATTTTGTTATTTCCTCTTTAACCTACATTTTGCTTGGAAGGGTGTGTTAGTTTGGCGTGTTTGTTTCCATTTTTATCCAAAGTAATCCATATACAAAGGTCAAATGGTGACAAAATTTCTAAGAAAAATTAGGGGGCCCCTGCTTTGCTTTCCCCCCAGTTTTCCTTGCCAGGTCCACCCGGTCTGTCGACTTTTTAAAGAGTTTCTTCAGGATTTGCCTCTGTGTTTTTAAATAATAATCGTGAGCTTGTTTTTTTGATTTGTAGAAAATTAAGACGTTATTTCTTAGCTTTGCCTTATAGTCAGAAGGATTGTGTTCTCATACACACTTGTAAGCAGAGATGTGCTGCCCATATGTTATTCATATTGCCTTCGTTTTACCAAATGGCCTTTTTTGTGTTCCAGGATTCCAGCCAGGTCACCCCCGTTGCATTTAGTATCCCGTATCCTTGGGCTGCTCTTGGCTGTGATAGTTGATCAGATTTTCTTTGTGTTTAGTGACCATGACAGTTTTGTGGAGTGCCGGCCGGGTAATTTGTGGAATGTTCCTCAGTTGGGATTTGTCTGATGATTCCCTCATGGTTAGACTGATTTGAGGAGGAAGATCACAGAGGTGAAGTGCTATTTTCATGGCGGCATACCAAGGGCATATAGTGTCGGTGTGGTTTATCACGGATAGGAACCTCCATCACCTGGCTAAGATAGTGTTTGTCAGGATTCTTCACCATCAAGTTACTTTTTCCAGGGCTCCTGGGTGACTCAGCTGCTTAAGCATCCAGCTCTTGATTTCGGCTCAGATCCCGATCTCAGAGTCGTGGGATTGAGCCCCGAGTTAGGCTCTGTTCTGGGAGTGGAGCCTGCTTAGGATTCTCTCCCTTTCCCTCTGCCCCTCCCCACCTCTCTCTCTATCTCACTCTTTCTCTCTCACACACACAGTCTCTCCCTCCCTCTCTCTCTCTCCCCCCAACCCCCCCCCCAAAAAAAAGTTAACTTTTTTCCACCTTTCCATACTGTTCTGTTTTTGGGAGGGAGTCATTATACACAGCCTCACGTAAGGAGTGGGGGAGTTATGCTCTACCTCTTTGGGGGCGGTGTCTACATAAATTATTTGGAATTCTATTTGGGAGATTTGTGTAGGATGGTTTTTAATGACATATTTAATTTCATTCATAGATACAGGACTATTTAGGTTTTCTGTTTCTTCCTGTGTTTTTCTTGGTACATTGTTTTCTCCCCTAGGCATTTGGACGATTTCATATAGATTTCCAAATGTAGTGGTATAATCTTCAAAATTTCCTTTTACTATCTTTCTGACATCTGTAGGATTATATTGGTGTCTTGGTTTTTATTATTTGGGTTTTGTTTGTTTGTTTGTTTGTTTGTTTTAAGATTCTATTTATTTAGGGACACCTGGGTGGCTCAGTGGGTTAAGCCTCTGCCTTCAGCTCAGGTCATGATCTCAGGGTCCTGGGATCAAGTCTCACAACAGGCTCTCTGCTCAGCAGGGAACCTGCTTCCCTCTCTCTCTCTGCCTGCCTCTCTGCCTACTTGTGATCACTATCCATCAAATAAATAAATAAAAGCTTTTAAAACAAACAAAAGATTATATTTATTTATTTGACAGAGAGAAAGAGATAGCGAGAGAGGGAACACAAGCAGGGGGTGTGGGAGAGGGAGAAGCAGGCTTCCTGATGAGCAGGGAGCTGATGCAGGGCTCGATCCCAGTGTCCCAGGACTCTGGGATCATGACCTGAGCTGAAGGCAGATGCTTAATGACTGAGCCACACAGGTGCCCCAGTTTTTATTTTTGATATGGAGAAATTATGCTCCTTTCATTAGTCTTCCTAGGAGTTTATCAAGCATTAGTCTTTTATTTTCTTCAAAATTTTATTTAAATCCTAGTTAGTTAACATACAGTGCAGTATTAGTTTCAGGAATTAAGTGATTCATCACTTATATACAATACCCAGTGTCATCACAAGTGCCCTCCTTAATGCCTCTCACCATCTAGCCCATCCCCCACCTCTCTCCCTCCATCAACCCTGTTTATTCTCTATTGTTGAATCTCCTATGGTTTGTTACCTTCTCTCTCTCTTTCTCTCTCTCATTCTCCCCCCTCTCATGTGTTCATCTGTTTTATTAGTCTTTTAAAAGAACTAACTTATAACTCTCTCAGTTTTCTTCTTTGTACCCTTGTTTTCTAGGTTATTAAGTTCTTAATTAGTTCTTTACTGCTACTTTCTTTGGATTTAATTTTCTATTGTTTCCTACCCCCCACAACCCTGCCCATGCATTTTGAGATGGGTCCCCAGGTGATTGATTTTTCAGCTTTCCTTTATGCATTTTTTAGCTCTGCATTTCCTCTGAGCTCAGCTTTAATTACATTCCACAAGTTTTGATTTGTTGTATTTTATTTTCATATCAGTGAGTTCAAAATAATTTCTAATTTCTATTGTGATTTCTTCATTGACTCATAGTTATTTCTTCATTGACTCACAGTGCTTAATTCCAAACATGTTGAGATTTTGCTTTTCATCTTTTCTGGTTTTGATTTCTAGTTTAATTCGTTACACTGTGGCAAGAGAATGTAGTCTGAAAGATTTCGGTCTTTTGAAAGAAAGCTTGCTTTATACTGCAGCATAAAATCCACTTAAACATTCTATATGCACTTGAATAGATATATATTATGAAGTCATGATGTGTGATAAATAATGTAAGTCAGGTCAAGTTTGCTGTTTTGTTGAGAACTTCTCAATCCTTATTGGGGTTTTTGGCTATTACTTATCTAAAGAGATATGCCAAAGTCTCCCACTATAATTATGGATTTGTCTATTTCTCCTTTTACTTCTGTCAGTTTAGACAGATGCCTGTCTTTTTCTTGTGGATATAATGACCCTTTTTTTATTGTATCTCTAGTCTCCTTTCTTTTGATTACTATCTGCATGACTTTTTTTTTTTCAATCTTTCTATGTCTTTTTATTTAAGATATATCTCTTTTGGGGCACCCAGGTGGCTCAGTGGGTTAGAGCCTCTGCCTTCGGCTCAGGTCATGAACTCGGGGTCCTGGGATTGAGCCCCGCATCGGGCTCTCTGCTCGGCGGGGAGCCTGCTTCCCCCTCTCTCTCTGCCTGCCTCTCTGCCTACTTGTGATCTCTCTCTCTCTGTCAAATTAATAAATAAAATCTAAAAAAAAAAAAAAAGATACATCTCTTTTAAGCAGCATATAGTGGGGTTTTGTTTTTATTTGGTTAGACAATTTTCCAACTGGTGTATTTAACTTTTTTACATTTAATTTAATTACTGATATATTTGTGTTTATTTTTGCCTTCCTACTATTAACTGTCTGTCCTGTATTTCCATATTTATTTCTGGGATCATTTTCATTCTTCAAGATTTACTTACTCTGTGTCTTCTGGTGATAAATTCTCCATTTCTGTCTGTACAGGGGGTCCCCAAGACCAATCCGCGGTTTAATGATTCACTAAGAGAACACAAAGGACTCAGTATACAGTCATTCTTATGTTTACATTTTAATACGATAAAAGGATATAGAGTAAAACCAGCAAAGGGAAAGGGTGTGGTGAATGAAGTTTGCAGAAAGCCGGATATAAGCTTTCAAGTCCCAGCGGAGTCACACTGGATGCACTGAATTTCTCCAGTAATGCATTGTGATATGTGTGAAATATTTGTGTACCAGGAAAGCTCATTAGAGACTCAGTACCCAAGGTCTTATTGAGGGCTAGTTACATAGGCACTCTACCTAACATATACAAAGATTCCAGGCTCCCAGAAGGAAAGCAGGTATTCAGCATAAACCACATTGTGCAAACTAAGCACAGTGAAGCACATGTATCCATTCTGAGAATAGTGGGAACCCTCCTGAAACCCAGATTCAAGGACACCCACCAAGGACCAAGCTTACAAGCAGGCCTTTCTAAGGAGGGCAGTCTGAGGCTTGCTGTGTTAACTTTCCGCACACTTCCTGTGTGAAAATACCTTTGTTTTCCCATTACTTTTGAAAGGATATTTTCACCGGGTATAGAATTTTAGATTTGCTGTTATTTCAGGCCTTTTTTAAAAGATGTCATTCCAGGGGCACCTGGTTGACTATTTCAGTTAAATTTCAAGCCTTCGGTTCAGTTGATGATCATGGAGCCCTACATCAGGCTCCCTGCTCAGTGGGGAGCCTGCTTTTCCCTCTGGCCCTACCCCTTCTTGTACTGTCTCTCTCAAATAAATAAAATCTTTTTAAAAATAAATAAAAATAAAATGTCATTCCATTTTCATTGTTTTGTGTCTTCCTTCATTTCCGTTGAGAGGTTGGCTTTGACTCTTCTAGCTCGTTTTGTAAAAGATGTGTTCTCACCCCCACCAGCAATGCCTTCTAAGATTTTCTCTAGGTCTTCATTTTTCAGCAATTTGAGTAAGATGTGCCGAGTTGTGGTTTTATTAATATTTATCCTACTTCGGGGGCACCTGGATGGCTCAGTGGGTTAAGCTCAGTGGGTTATGCCTTCAGCTCAGGTCATGATCTCAGAGTCCTGGGATCGAGCCCCGCATCGGGCTCTCTGCTCAGCGGGGAGCCTGCTTCCCTTTTACTCTCTCTGACTGCCTCTCTGCCTACTTGTGATCTCTGTCAAATAAATAAATAAAATCTTAAAAAAAATATTTATCCTGCTTCATTATGTTCCTAGAATCTGTGATTTGATATCTCTCTTAAATTTTGGAAATTCCATGACTATTTTCTTCTCAAATACTTCCTTTGCTTCAATCTATTCCTCTTCTCTTTCTGGGCTTCAAATTACATGCAGGTTAGACTGACTTCCTTTCTTTCTACCATATTCCACATTTCTCATGCTGTTTCTTGTATTTTCTTTTTATGCTTCAGTTGGATATTTTCTGTTCACTCTTTTTTCAATTCATGACCCTCTATCTGTGTCAAATCTGGTAGGCCAGTCAAATGTAACTTAATCTATTGAGTTTTGTTTTGTTTTTTTAAGTGGGGAGGGGGAAAGGGAGAATCCCAGTAGGGGTCTCAATCTCCGGACCCTGAGATCATGACTTGAACTGAAATCAAGAATCAGATGCTTACCCAACTGAGTCACCTAGGTGCTCCCCTCTGTTGAGTTCTTAAAGTTCAATTCTTGCATTTTTCAGATCTGGAATTTCTAATTGATTTTTTAAAATTTGTTTTAAAGCTAGTGCCTAATTACTCATGATATTTGGTACAGAAATTGGACTTCATTCTCTCTCTATCCTTTTCTTCTCAAATCTTGATCCCCTATGTTCTGGCTTCTTTGGAAGCCTTGAACTCAGTATTTGTCTCCCTGGCCCTGGGAGGTTGGCAAAAAGCTCTGCTCATACACACTGCAAAGCTTCTCCCGCCTTTTGCAGCAGTTCTGCTCCATGAGAGTTCTATGCTATTGTACCTCCTTCGACTTAAGTTAGGTTTGACTTTTATTTTTTTGGATATTTCTCTCAATTTCTGGTCTGTTGTGGCCCCCTCACCATATTTTCCAATTCTGTTAAGGCTTTAAAAATATAGATTTCTCTCTCCTGTCATCTCAAACTATGAAGTGGGATACAGAGGGCCTGTGGTCTGAGGTCAGGCTGATACTGTTTTTCCATCTAGCCCTTGGCACCCAGGGTGTGCTTCTTAGCATATAACAGGCTCCCAGTCAGTGTATATGAAGAATAGATATTGAATATTCAGAGAAAGCAGAAATGTTTATTATATTTCTGAAGTGACTGCAATTGGGAGTTTTTATTTCTGTGAGTTAGAAAACTTTCCCTTAATACCATGGTTTTGTCCTGTACTTTGCTTTCATTGAATAAATCCATTTCTTGCCATTCCATCATGACATTGAACTTGAGCCCCTGCGGTTCAGTTTTTCAGGTCACAACCAGGCTTCTGCACATGGTAGCCCTGCCGCCAAGGAGAACGGCCAACACTGATATTTGCCAATGGAGTGTGTATTTCTTTTCTAGCACACATGCTTGCTATGTGATTTGTTGTTAAAATCTGTGTTCTTGTCTGATGCAGGGCTCAAAGCTTGAACTCCCCTTGTGGCTGGCAAAAGGACTTTTTGACAACAAGCGGCGGATCCTTTCTGTGGAACTCCCCAAGATCTACCAACAAGGTTGGAGGACGGTGTTCAGTGCCGACGCCAATGTGGTGGACCTCCACAAGCTGGGGCCACATTTCTATGGGTTTGGCTCCCAGCTGCTGCATTTCGACAGTCCAGAGAATGCAGACATTTCCCAGTCTCTCCTGCAGGCAAGTGATTAATGTGAAAATCTAAGGCACTGCACGGGCCCTGGGAGCTGGTGTGGTCACCAGCAGACTTCACTGTTCTCGGGGAAGTGTACCATTTACATGGTTCGTTCATTATTCCATGTCAGCCGACAGTTAGACTGTGTTTGCTGATTATATACCTACTTCAAAATGATTGGTCTGCAGCTTTTCATATTTGCTTGTTAAGACTTGGGACCAACAGAAAGTCCTAGAAATAAGAAAGGGATGATGGTTGACCACAGGGACAGGCTCCCAAATGTACCAGCCCAGCCCCAGGACTGGCCTGAGGGTTCCTCTCAGGAATGTACCTGTTACTTGTTCCCTTCCCTTGCTCTGGGGCTAAGATGTGGCTCTGCATCTGCACTGTGTCCTCACGGTGTGATCTGGTCAAGCTACTTGTTCTCTCTAGGCTTCTCAATTTTTCGCCTGTTAAGTAGAGATACAAGAGTGCCAAAATTACCACATCACAGTGAGTTTATATTGTGCTATTTAATAAATGGTACCTATTACTGTTATGTTCCATGGACAAGACAGTGTTATGCACATAGTACCATCCTTTAGGTATGACCTTATTTTAACTTTTTATTCTGCTAATATTAGAAGAAACCTCCTTTTCTACCTCTTGTTTTACTCCTTCATTTCTAGCTTTGCAAGAATCGGTGGCTAAAGACACATTTCTGCCCGGTGTTGGGCTAATGTGTCCTTGTGCAATTTTTAATGTGGATAGTAAAGAAACACTTCATTGCTCTCCATTCAGATAAAGAAGCCAATACACAGACTGTAGACCATTGGAGCTTAGGAAACTCTTGTGAGCAGGAAGCTAAAAGTGAGGAAAACCCATTTGTCTTACAGTATCTCCAGGACATGTTCTTGAATTAGAACACTGCCCTTGGCTAGTGATTTCTTTGTTTTCTTTTCCCATCATTGCTTTGAAGTCCTGTAAAGTTGCTGACATATAAGGTGACATCGCCACAAGGCCAAGGAAGAAACTGAAGCCAGGGCTCGTGGCTTGGTCTCGGAGCCCTAGGGTAGAGTGACACTCCTAGATCACATGTGTCTCTGTCCTGCTCTCAGACTGAAAAAAGTAGAAAATGCGTTCAATTAGATCAGGAATCTTCTTTGGTTGAAACCTGTCTGCATGTGTCACTGTGCATTATTATGGCCTTTGTCCCTAATAACAATAACAGGTAATGCTTTTCGAGGAGCTTCCTCTTGCCAGTCATTTGTGAGATGCTTTACAGGTGTTCCTTCACTGGTTTCCATAACAACCCATTGGATTTTCCTAATAGTCTGTTTCACAGACGGGGAAATTGAGGTGTGGCAACGTGATACAACTTGAGTGGTAGTGGCCTCACACCTCCTTCTGACTGAGTCCAAACTTCCCCTTCGTGACATTTAATGTTCAGGGATGTTCAGGGATGGGCCACCTGGCAGACTCCGTCAATGGATCGCGTGACTCTTGATCTCGGGGTTGTGAGATCAAGCCCTTCTTGAAAAGGGTGAAGAGATTACTTAGAAATAAAATCTTTAAAAACAAAAATGTACAGGGATAAAATGGATCTTATTTCTCTCATTCGCTTCTTCTTCAGACATTCATTGGACGTTTTCGCCGCATCATGGACTCCTCCCAGAACGCTTACAATGAAGACACTTCAGCACTGGTAGCCAGGCTGGACGAGATGGAGAGGGGCTTGTTTCAAACAGGACAGAAAGGACTGAATGACTTCCAGTGTTGGGAGAAGGGGCAGGCTTCTCAGATCACAGCCTCCAGCCTCGTTCAGAACTATAAGAAGAGAAAACTGACTGACATGGACAACTGAAGGCCAGAAGAACACAGAAGTGCTCCTGGTGGAGGGAACCACTCTGTGTGTCCTTGATAGGAGCCTCGCTGACCTTCTATAGGACCAGAACCGTGTCCCATGTCATGGCTTATTTCCTGCAGCAGTCCGTGTGGGAAAGGATGTGCTGTAGGAGGTCCTTGACCTATGAGGCATATGAGACTATCCCAACCTGCTGACCCACAGCCCAGGCCTACTTAAACCATGAACCCCCAGCTGGAGAGAAACCAAAGTCCCTTATAAAGAAGGATGGTTAATACATGCATCATAGTACAGTTGGAACTGGGATCCCTTGTGCCTGGGAGTGTAATAACCTCCAATGTCCAGTTTCACTAGCTCCAAAGGACAGGTACAAATGGGCCGTCTTCGCCTGCTCACAAATGTTCACGTGAGCGTAACTGCTGCTCCATCTTCCTCATGGGTGCTCAGAGGACAGCAGGCAGCCCCAGGATGTCAGCCTTGTGTCCCCTGCCTGTGGGGAGTTACCCCAAGCCAAGAATAAAGAAGAAAAAGGAACAGGCAGATGAATGGTGGGACTTTTACTGAAGGGGCTTTTACACATTGCCTTCCTCCTCTCTAGCCAGGGCTTTGGGGTCTAGGTACACAAAGCTCTGCAGGCAGCCTGGAGGGGAAATGGTTAACCTGAGCCTGGCTTTTGTCTTGAGATCTTCAGAGCCACCAGCACAGCAGTTCCTTCCCTCCCTAGAGCAGCTGTCAGGGAGTCATTTGGAATCGCAAAGTAATTATTAAAGGGTGTGTACCAGCTCTTCTTATATTGAAAACCAGACTTTAGGGTGGCTGGTTAGGAAGGGCCCCATTTGAGAAGCTGCACGGGGCAAATGTAAGTAGGCGGGAGACCTTGACGCTATTTTCCCTCTTCAGTAAATTCAGCAGCACCACTACCTACAGGATTCCTGACCATGTACCGAGGATCTGTTTCAGCAAGCACAGAGCTCGTCCCCGGAGATCAAGGCGGAAACCTTGGCCTGAGTAAGAAGCTTTGTTCCCTGCAGGCCACCCCATTTGAAGGATAGTTATCTCTACGCCGACTTCCCACAAATGACAACTGTCTTTGTCATTAGAAATTATAGAGGGATTTGGGGATCCAAATTGTGCAGATGTCTCCCTGCAAACTTAGAATGCCAGAATGGCTTTTAAAATGCATGTTTCAAGATGGAAACAGTGTTTTTATGATTTGATTTTGGTGCTAAATAAATGATCCGTTTTGCACATGAATACATTCTGTACAAGTACTATTTCTGTAACTCGAGTACTACAGATGATCAGACAAAGCGATCAGAGAATTTTGTCTTTGATCGTATTTGACAATAATGCCCAACTAAATCCGTGTTTCCGTGGCTGCTCTTTTGTTTGCACCAGACTCGTGAATTTGAGGGACATTCTCTGTAGCAACGATTTGTGTCCCAGAAAGGTGGGCCTTTCTTTGCTAGCACGGTGTTTGCATAGAGCCAGGGCCCGGAGACAAGGCATAGTCAGAGGGAGAAAAGTGTATTGCTTCATTTTTGGATTTGCTGTTTTCACAGATAGCTTTGTATTTAAAGTCTGTGCTAAGGCGGCTGCCATTTTTTTCTCTTGTTGGGAAAAAAAAATTATGCTGGAGTCACATGCTGGGAATAAGTGGATATGCATGTGCAGAATTTATTCCCTGTTTACATTTTGAACAGATTATTATAAGTAGCTTTTGAAACCTATTTCCAGTTACAAGGTTGCCTTCAAGCCTTTCAATTACTACCTCTCTCCCCTGCAGTCCTCCTCAAATCAGGCTTATAGATCACTATTTGTTCCCTTCAAAGAGGTGAGTTTTTCAAAATGAGTCCACAAATGACTCAAACAGCAAACTGCTCTTAAAATCAATAGCGGGGAAACGTGTGTCCTTTCCCCTTAAGGCTCTGTTCCCAGATAACTGAGGCCTTAATTATATGCAAACACCTCACCACATTGAGGTTTTTCCCTGGGACCATCCGGGCTACCAGGGGAGTGGGGCAAGTCTGGACTCCTGGGTCCGTCCCTCCTGCTCTCCTTGACCTCTGAACTTTGGATGGCCCCAGTCTGAGTCCTTGGGTCTCTCCTAGCCTAGCCGTTCTCCCTCGTGAGGGCATCTTATCCTATCTCAAGCTTTTTAAATACCATCTACGTGCTACCCAAAATTTGATCTGCAGCTCAGACCCTCCCTCCAACTCCAGACTTGGATCCCGCCACCTACTTGACATTCTACTTCAACGTCTGACCTCACTTGGCTGAAATGGAACTAATCTGCCTCAGTCTGTTCCTCCTATAATTTCTGTCTTCTCTGTTTCAGACAACACTATCCTTCCCTCTTGCACAGGACAAAAACCTGGGTGCCTCCTTGGCCCTGCCCTTCCTCTCCATGTCTTTTGGGTCTATCTTCAAATCACCTGTACGATCTGACACGTCTTCCCCCACCGCCAGTCTCGCACTGGATGGTTGTGTCACCTCCCAACGGCCCCCTGCACCCACTTTCCACCCCACCTTGAGACTTCTCACCATAGCAGCCACAGTGGTCTTGTTCAAAAATAAGTCAGATCTTATTTATTCTCAGCTCAAAGCCCTTCCAAATCCAAGAAAAAGATCATTCCACCATCCCAGCCCCTTTTATTAAAAAAATTCACTTAACCCCAGTGATCTGGCATAGAAATTTTTTTAATCTGTTTTTTAAAAGATTTATCTATTTCATTTAGAGAGGTAGGGAGTGAGCAGGAGGAGGGGCAGAGGGAGGGAATGTCCAGCAGACTCCCCGCTGACCATGGAGCCTGTGGCGGGGCTCAATCTCAAAACCCCGAGATCATGACCTGAGCCAAAATCAAGAATCAGATCCTTAACTGGCTGAGCCACACAGGCGCCCGTGGTGTAAAAATTTTTTAATGCTTCTGTAGCCGAATTAATTTGTTTCTTATTTTAAATATAAATTGCGTGTTCTGCCTAAGAGAGTTCTCAGTATCTTACAGAGTTTCTCATTAATCTCTCAGCACCACTGGACCTGAGAAGTTTCCGGAACACTGCTTCTGAAGTAGTGCAGTCAGAATGCAGAAGTATTGAGTGACTTACTCAGGTCAGCCCCCCTGTGAGTCTGTCTATTCTGCTCCCCCATCCTTCAAGAAACCCCAAAAGAGCTGTTCATCTTTATGCTTGAAACAGTTGTGCTTAAATGAAAATATTTTACACATCTTAGCAAAGGAAAATAACTGTGCAGAGGCCGTATGTGTGTTTCTGAAAGCAGATATCTTTGTGTTTAAAAGAAAAATCTATCCTTGAAATAACTTGAACAAAATGTAGGATAAATGCTTAACAATAAGAAACTTAATCTTACAATCCTTACCTCATATGGGTAAGCTGAAATTTTTTAATTCAAATATACACAGATAATTTCTAAAAGTCAATTAAATACCCTAAAACCTAAAGAAATTGTCTGAATTTGGAATTCTGTTGCTCACTCTTGATATCACTATTTTGAGTGAGCAGTAAACTCCCCTCCTTAATGAATAGTGAATAAAATCACTGAAATAGTGAATCAAGGGGAATCCTGAGACCATGTATAACCACACTCTCCTACTGAGAGCAAATGATTAACAAAGGTGACAGTCCCAGCCTGCTTTTGTTTGAGCTCATTTTGTTGATTTTTCCAGGCCTGTGCATTTCTGTCTAGCACAGAGACACTGTAACCCAGCCCATTCGGCTGGCAGCCTTCCTTGGGACACGAACATTCTCGTTTCAGGGTACCCTCTCCCATTGCCCGTGCTGTGGTTTAGGGGAAGGTACAAATGGGGCTCCTCCCCAAAGCCAGAGGTCTCCTTTGTCTGCTCTTCAGAGATCAGAGTCAGGTCAACTGATGGGGCACCATTCCACTGAAGATAGTATAGAGAGGCAGCCTATATCCTCCACCCAGCGTCCCCCCTCATCTTATGTAACCGTGTGCATTTATTAAACTCTGTTAACTAAGCCACGGGCTTTATTCACATTTCACCAGTTTTTCCACTAATGTCCTTTTCCTGTTCAGAATGCAATTTAAAATCCTCCATTGCATTTAGGGGCAATCGGTTTTGAAAGCAAAAAAGAACATCAGACTCTTCCAAACTATGGTAATTTCAGGAGTTCAGCTTATTGGAAACGTTTCATTGCATTGATGTAGGTCAGGGCGGCCAATTAGGGGCTTGTTGGGCCTTGCCCAGGAACGAGCTGCAGGTCAGTTCATCAAAAAGGGAGAATATTAGCTTTTCACCTGAAAATGTCACTCACTGGTACTTGGATCTGTTGGGAAAAGGTCTCTTTAATTTTACTTAAAGCTTTCGCATTCTCTCTCTGACAGCAATAACTTGATTTTCTCCCCTTTCCCTTCTGGCACATACTAGCTAATTTTCTTTGTGTCTAAATGAGTTTAAAAAGAGCACAGCTTTATACACCAATATTATTAACAAGTGTCAGGACAGCTCTGAAAATAGTCCTGGGAACTGCTAGTGTTTCAGAATCCATAAAGGGAGCACACAGAACCAGCTAATCCTTGCAAACATCTCCCACCTATGCCTAATTAAGGGAAAAAAAAACCAACCTCAGAGTTTTTAATCTTTATGTCGTTCTCTGTTCTTGTATCACCCTTGAAAGTTTATTTGATTCCCACACAATTTCCATCCCTCCCCTTGTGCAATGAACATTCTTCCCTGACGAGAGTTTCTTTTCTTTCGATCTAGAAAAGCAAACGAGTGACTAAGGAATATAGATTCAAGGGCAACCAATGAGACAGGTCAGAGAAAGGGGGTGTGATTTATTGAAGGGAATGTGTGGGAATGATGCATGTTGACGCTTGAAGACTGGGGACAGAAACCAGTAATAAGAGTTGGCATTTGCCAGAACCATCGGTTGGAAGAGGTGACAACAGTTGTTCCCAGAGAGTGGCCTTATCTTAATGGGAACAAGAGGGCTTGGCACTCCACTATCTTGTAGGCTCAGGAGCAAAACACTTAACAAAACTTTTCAAAAGCCACTGTCATTTTCTAATTTAGCATTTCACGTTCATGTCTTTATCCAAGATTTCCAGATCAATATTAAGTAATGCACCTCTTTTCAAATCATTGGGAACTCCAAGAGAGGTTTTCTCAGGTTTTGAGCCAGCTCAGGCCTTGATCCACATTCCAGAGGATTCTCCTGGCTGAATGTCCACATCATTTCAAAGATCTTTAGGGGGAGCTGTCCGCATAGCATGATACATCATGTTTATTGGCCAGGAGTGACAATTAAGTTCCGCAACATTTAAGGCATTTTTCAAAAGACATTAATAAAAACTAACAAACCTCACTCCATTTTGAAAGACTAGTTATCTGCATAGACTGTTGTGATTTTAAAAGGCTTTTCTGCCACTGCACTAAGACAAGCCACAGGAAAAAATGCGTCCGGTTACCTATACGTATTTGTCGAGAGAACA